TAATTGTATTGTATTTGAGAGAAGCGGAATTGATGGTGTGTCTACAGAGAGGGCCTGATTTGATCGTTTTCATACTAGGAAATTTTGACCAATGGGGTTCTTCCAGTTTGAGACACGAGGCTGTTCTAGCCATGGGTTGAACACAAGGGTATTCCTGTAATTTAAAGTATTTTATGTTTTTATCTTCAAATGATGATTACTTTTGGTTTTACATTTTAAAAATAATAATAAACATTGAGTATTGTGTTCTATCTTCAAATAATTGGTTTTTGTTATAAATAGAATCCTATTTATGGTGAATGTCCATATTTAGAGAGATTTTAGGGTTCATTGCTTGGTGGCTAAGTCACCCTCTCCCTATAAATAGAGGGTTTTATTCCATTTTAAATCATTCCAAAATCAATAAGAATTTTCTCCCTCTACTTTTCTCTACAATACTCTTCTTCTTTTATTGTTTTATAACACGTCTTCAGCACGAGACTCTAACCAATTGAGTAGAAGCTTTGGGATTGAGCATAATGATTGTCAATTATTCGATGAACTTCCTTCATGATTAAATTCTGGACTTAAGGTAAGTATTTTACCGTATTTTTCTCTTTTATTCTATACTTTGATTTTAAATACAAGCAAAGACAACAAAGTTTGATTATAACTCTAATGGAGTTTGTAAGAAATATAACCACCCGAAGTGGTAAAATTTCTATGTCTTGCCATGATCAAAGTCATATATGGTCGTGAGCACAAGAAGTGAAAAACCGTCCCATTGAATTTGCTCCATTCTCATTCCCTTAAGAGAATGTGATAGCAATATGTGATAAGTCTGAAAGAAGACAAAATTATTACTATGAATGTATCAATGGATGTGGACGTGGCAATAGACGAAATTATAATCGTCATCATTGTGATAATGAGAATAATAAGGATTCTCAAAATAATCCTTCACTCTGTGAAAGTAATATTTGTCATCGATTTGACATGAGATTTTATAAAGCACATATAGATGATTATGGTCCATTCATGATGTGAATGTGACAACATCTGATTTATGAATACATATTCATTCTTCAAAGAATATGAACGTGCTAGTGGTGGTGAATATACCGCACTCACCTCTAAAAGGTGGTTTGAGATGATATAAGAAAATAATGTCATTATTATGGCATGAATGGTCATTGGTCACGTACCTATTGTACGCCAAAATATTTTGGCATTGTGATTGTTAAAAGACAACGGTAATGCAAGAAACAGATCTTGCACATAATTTTGACCATAACCATAATGGTATAACTTTCTCTTTAAAATAGATATTCACCATATGGGTGTTGATGAATATGTGGTACTACAAAATTAATTGAGAACTCTGCAATAGCCAATTATACTATTTTGGAGAAATACAATTAATTACCAATAAGGTATTGTGTTGTAGTAAGTCTCAAAGAAACTTATTCAGTTTTCAAAGTATACGCGAAAGCGGTTGATTATATTGAGACTATAAATAAAGGAAATATTTAATATCTTCTATTACTACAATTTGTAGCGGGGTAATATGTATGTGAAAAGCCACCCGCTTTATTCTCCAATTTGTACTACATAAACAAAAGAATACCACAATGAAGTGGATATTTATTGATATAAAAACCCATATCATAATAAACTTGGAGTTTATTCATAATTGCACACATCATGGTGTAAACCTAAAGTTTATCAATATTGATAATTTATCCAGTTGGCATAATTGGTTTAGCCATGTTAATTCAAGTATGATGTGCAAAAATAAAAGAGAATTCACATGGGTAAATATTAAAGAACTAGAAAGTTCTTTACGAATTCTCTTACATTGCTTCTTCTCATTAATTAATAGACCAATTAAAATCGGGATTGAATCCCATGAATGCTGGAAACATCAAAGGTGAATATGGGCCCATTCACCTGCCATGTATACCACATAAGATGCATCTATGAGATGGTTACATGTGCGGTTATTATTAACCCGCAACATGGTGTTTGCGAGGTAACTTGCTCAATAATTTAATTTAGAGCATATTCCAGATTTTCTATTCAAGAAGTTCATCTTGATAAGTTGGTCTACATCACAGCTGGTTTAGCAAAATAATTTATTGAATGCCTCCACTTAATAGCTAAACAATTGCTTATGAGAACAAAGTTTTATATATCAGTTTGATATACGTTATATATGAAAGTATATTACATTCTCCCCTCACAAGTGGTTCATGGTCAGAAACCAAATAATTCCATCTTATTATTATTGATGTGCGGTGTATATTTTGATTAACACCATAACGCACAAAGATGGGTTCTCAAAGTTGAGAAAACAAATTAGTTTTTCTAACATGAGGGGGAGACATGATAAACAGTTGAGAAAATGTTACGTGGAATGAATTATCACTTGTACATCTAGATCCTCGAATAAGATAATATGAACTTGAAGTTCATAAAAGGATAATTCAGTTGCAATATATTGCAAAGCATGCCAGACGCATTTGCTGACCCAAAGAAAGTAACTATATTCTCATTGCAAATGCTCGTATTAAGTCCTAGAAGGACAAAGTCTATGGTACGCTTACAGCATATAGACAAATCGGTTTCAAATAAACTTCTTGATAAAGAAAATGAGCAAATGATCGAAATGATCATAATAAAGGAGGCAAGTGATCTAGAAGATCACATGACATAACACTTCATAAAATCTCATGAGAGATTCAGGTACCTGAATATAAGAATGAAGAGGTCTCTATGTTATGTCTTTATGAAAAATAAGGAGGTTCGAACCGATATAAAATGTTTGTTGACGACATCTATAATAGCGCTAAACATATATGAGGACCTCAAGTCTGGAGAAACAATTCAAGTAGAATTTGGTTTCCTATGAAAGACATGTAGTTCAAACACTTGAAAGTATGAAGCCAATGATATGTGCAATCAGTTTTCGATATCTTATTTGCCTAGCATGACATGAAAACTTGATATGCATCTTATTAAAGTCTATTGTATGACTTATATGACAATCCTTGAAGGATTTAAATCGCTTGAAGCATATACAATTCTTGATCTTGAAGTACTACTTCCTCAGTGCAATTTGTGCACAAATGTATCTTGCTATAACTATAGGCATGATAATACGATACCAAGAGTTTTCACCTCTATGTGAAGATATTGAACTGACGGTTACAACAAGATCATATGAAGACAATCCATCTCTATCAAGAATGATGATTTCAAGGTGCAATATATTCATTCAAATTAATATGGCTGATTTGTTTATCAAATATCTACCAAAGATCTTTTGAAGATGGTGCACAAGATTGGAATGCAAATGCTTAAGGATGTGAATTGATGCTCTCATCAAGGGAAGTTAATACGCGTTGTACTCTTTTTTCCTTACAAGGTTTTGTCCCACTGGGTTTTCCTTGCAAGGTTTTTAACGAGGCAACCAATAGGCGCATTTCTAAACATGTGTACTCTTTTTCCTTTTCTAGAATTTTTTTTCCCATTGGGTTTTCTTTTAGTTAAGGTTTTAACGAGGCACATTATCTGTTGAATAAACATTCAGGGGGAGTGTTATAAATAGAATCCTGTTTATGGTGAATGTCCATATTTAGAGAGATTCTAGGGTTCATTGCTTGGTGGCTAAGTCACCCTCTCCCTATAAATAGAGGGTTTTATTCCATTGTAAATCATCCCAAAATCAATAAGAATTTTCTCCCTCTACTTTTCTCTGCAATACTCCTCTTCTTCTTCGTTTATTGTTTTATACCAGTTTTACGGTTTTTGTGAGAATTGATTTTGGGTATTTTTTGGGAGGGGAAATTACTACTAAAATGCTTGGCGAGGCTAATAAATAAGTAATGATTAAAAACTTTGTTTATTACCGAGTATATATATATATATATATATATATATATATATATATATATATATATATATATATATATATATATATATATATAT